GAGCGCTGCGCGAGTGGACCTGTGACAGAATCCCGCCCGGGCTGTTTCGAGACGGAGCCCCTGGGGTCGGGCCTGTGAGTCCTGCATCCCCAGGTGTCTGAAGGGCAGTCCTGCGGGGTTTACTGGTCATCATTGGCTGGACTTGCTGGTTTAAGCTCCGTTCTTCTTCTTCAGACGTCGCGTTTACTCCTGACGCCGCAGGCCCTGCGGGAGGGTGTGGATGCTGTGCGGATGAAGTGCACTGCCTGCTGTGGGGGGGCTGTGCTTGTGCTCACGGGCTGTCCACAGGGGAGACTTCCGCGAGGCTGCTCTGCAACGCACGTGCACAGCGATTTTTTTCTGTCTGGTTTTCTTCCTCTCTCCCCTCCGTTTCGCTCAGACGCGCTTCCCTGTGCAACACCAAGGGCTTGAACCAGCCTCCCCTGAAATAACACCCCCCCCCAAAAAAAAAAGACGGTCTGGCGGGGAGAGGGGTTGTCTGGAGAGTCCCCCCGTCCCCCCTCGGTTTCCTGCGAGGCCGGTTCCGCGCGCGGCATTGGCCGGTTCGCCTGCGGTGTCCGCGCGCGCCCTCGCTCTCACCGGCGCGCGCGTCTCAGTCGGGCCGCTCCTCACACGCCACGCGACAGCTCGGGGTGCCGCCCCGAGGCCCCGCACTGTCACGGATCTTTTCACTTGAACGTTATTTTGGACCGGAAAGAAAAATGAGAATGGGTCCCGCCAGAGAGACCCTTTTCATTTCCGGTTCGCGTCCGTCAGGGATATCGATTTCAAAAGCCTTGTGTAGATTGAAAGAGAAAGAAGCATCTTCTATGACTGCAAGAAGTGATACAACTTTTCTATAACTTTTATGATAAGCTTAAGAACAGGTTCGCTGTACCTTTTAATTATCCAAGGACAATAAAGATGATTAGTTTGGCAATAATGTTCTATTGCTACATTTAAATGTCTCGAGATTTTTCCTACTTCTGTAACTTTTAATTTTAATGTTATTTATTGATTTGTAACAGGACAGTCTTTATTATTTTTTTCTACCCATAGCATCCAGTACCATGCCCCCTGCCAATCTGACGTCAGACAGATTGTGCTCAAGAACAGCAGGGGTTGAACAAGGAGGGCTTTGTTTCTGTATTGGGCTGAAGGTGTGGTGAAAAACA